AAGATGACATAAAAATACCAGGGTTTGGATGTAGATCAAGAGTGCTAAACTCGCGACGTATCATGACTTTTCCCCATTGCTGGAGCTGGGGTGGGCGTGGTTTCGGCTTGATGCATCTGGCCTGTGGGCTGGCAGTTTGACACCCCTGATGTAGATTATGGGAAGCTGTTTTGGCATTAATACAATTGCTTTAAATTAAATAAAAAGTGTACTCTGCTTTGTGCACTTTACAGCAGAAGAGAAACAGTTATTAAAATATGAGATAGTTTCAGTACATTGTAACATATGTCTAAAGCAATGGAATATGACATTTTGACAATATCTTGTAATTTATACAAGCTATAGATACTACATATTAGGCTATGTAGTGATACCTTATGGCAATAGCATTATGACCGAACAAACATTTTAGCTATCTTAGTCCCAGACATCCATGTAATAGCCTTTTACTGCCAAGGGAGATTGTTTGGAATAATTCTATTGAGTCCTGCTAAATAGCAATGTAATGAAAACAAATGTTTGTGTGACTGTGTGTGTGATGCATTGCTTTCATCTATATAACTCAGAGTACAAATCACAGAGTCAATTACAGTTCTGTAATATGGATTGTTTTTCGCCTTTTGATTCGATGGAAGAATGGTGTTGTTTTTGGGAATTAGAAGAACATGAGCTGGCATGGGTGGCATGAGTATTACTGGTAGGAAAAGTCAAGGATAATGTGGATTTTAAAAACCATTATGTTAGACATTTCATACTGAAAATATGGAATAAATAAACTGTAAACCCAGGTTATATCAGAAAACACCTTTGTGGTTCTCCCCTGCAAAGCATTTAATAGACAAGACAAAGGGAAATTGTGAGATTTTTGTCAAGGAGAATGTAAAATTAAGAGAAATGGTGGCAGAGGAATATTATTGTCAATTATTTTCTTAGCTATAGTTATTAGAAAGATTTAAAATAGACAAAGATATTTATAGTTTTGACAATGTAAGACTGAGTTTGAAACAGAACTTTGTGAAAACGATGAACAACTATTAAAATGGTGAACATACAATTGCTAAAATGCAATTGCTTTGAAATTTGAATTTTATTGAATTTGAAGCAGAAGAACAAATGAAAGAATAATGGGGCTAAAATATATTTTAGATGGAACAATGGGAAAATGTGGTTGAAAGAAGTGAAATTTATACTATGTTCTCATCTTAAGGGGAATTCTTATAAAATGATGAACCATTGATACATGTCACCAGACAAATTGTCTACTCTAAAATCTATAAAAGGTACTTGAAATCTATGTTGGAAATGTGAATAACAAGAAGGGACTTTTGATCCTGCTTAGTGGATGTGTAAAAAAGCTTTAAAAATTGGATTTAAATATATATACTGATTCAGAGAATTTTAAACATTAATACACAATTGAGACCAGATATTTTTATTTTTGAATCAATGGACAATTGGAAAAAAGTCATGGAACTTTGTTTTTGCGTATGATAAGTGGACCAAGATTATTGTATGCACAAAGATGGAAAGATTCAGCATTATCCACAATAGAAGAATGGTTGGTAAAGACGATGGAACTTGCTGAAATAGCTAAATTGACTTTGTTCATCAGAGAAAAGCGAGTATGTATATTTATTGTTGACTGGAAACCCCTTATGGACTTTTTGTGTAAAACAGAAAAAATGAGCTTGTTATTTATGGTTTTGATTATTAGGCAGGGTAGATTATAGAAAGGAGAGAGTCATGTTGTTGTGGTTCCAGCTAATGAAACATTCCAAAGAACTTCCAGGCATTTATTTTCCTAAAAGTCTTTTATTGTTACAAAATATTGGCACAGGCACAACGGAGGGATGCTAGGATCTAAGTTCTCTTCCTCTTTCTTTCCCGGGGTTTACCCCCAATGCCCCTTCTGTTCTTTATTAACCCCATATTTACCAGACAATTCTGCATACTGTCAAAAGCAAGAATATACAATATTTGCAGTGTTGACATCCGGCCCCCCTTACAAGAAGGACGGATTCCGTAAAGTGCACAAAAGCATACGTTAAGGGTTATCTTTCGGTTTGTTGGGGTGTTTCATATGAAACCTTTTGACCAATCTGTCAGTTTTCACTTCACTGGATTTCACCCAACGGGTACCCTTCCATTGGATTAGGTACTGCAATTTCCCTTTAAAAATTCTAGAATCAAGAATACGTTTTACTTCATAGTGGGTCTGCCCTGCAACTATGAGGGATCCAGGTGCTTTCTTTGGGGGAGGTCTTAAAGTGGAGCCCCGATAAGACTTCAACAAGCTACAATGGAAAACTGGGTGAATTTTCCCTAAAAGTCTAGGGAGTTTTAGTTTTACTGTGACCGGGTTGATGATCTTTACTATGGGGAAAGGCCCCAAGAATTTTGGTCCCAATTTCTTGCTAGGCAATTTGAGGCGTAGATATTTAGTTGACACATGTATTGTCTGGTATGAGGATGGAGAACAGGAGCCACTCAATTGTCGCTTTAGTGGCATGACTGGATCAATATTAATATGAATGTCTTATGGGCATTTACCTGGACTGGACTGGATTGTACCTTGGGATCTGGATTTGGACTAGACTTCTAGATTTTCTTCTTTTTGGAGGTGAGGGGGCTTTTCTCAGTGGTATGGAGCTGGAGGATGGACTGTGTTCTCACACGGCTGCACTGGCCATATTTCCTACATTGCTATGACTGGCAACTGATGAAGCCAGAGGGTTTCAGAGGTAGCTGGAGGTCTGCTGCATGGTCCATCCTCCACTGATGATATCCAATTATATCTCTTCCCCTGGCAAATTAAGCCATGCCATGACTGAGGTTGTGGATGGGGTAAACCAGACTTCCACTGAATCCTGAAGACCGAGTGATTTTAGGTTTTGGAGCCTACTGATTATAGGACTTTGCCTTCTTTTGTACTGGATGGAGTTGCACTCCCCAAACAGACCCAGTGTGCAATCTGGGGATCCTTCTAGACTTATGACTCTTGCTCAAAGAGCAGGTGGCAGTCATAGCTAGGAGGGCCTTTGTACAACTTTGGGTTGTGTGTCAATTGCACCTGTTTCTGGATCAGGAGACTCTGCTCACAGTCATTCACGCCCTGGTCATCTCCTGGTTGGGCTACTTTGATGACTCTAATGAGGCTTCCATTTCAATTGTATCCAAAAGCTTCAGCTGGTACATGAAGTGGTGCAGGCAAACGTGTGTATTTCCATAACAAAACATGTCACACCTCTGCTCCATGAACTGTATTGATTGCCAATTTTCTGCTGTTTCTAATTCAAGGTGGGCTATCTGAAGGACCACCTGCCCCCGATTATATCAGCTTGTGCCATTAATTTTGACAGAGTAAGAATATTGTGGGTACCATCTGCTAGGGATTTACATTTGGGCCTTCTCTGCTGTGTGGCCCACCTCATATAACCTTCTCATTCCCCCCCCCCCCCGAAATCAGGTCAGTCCATCCTTGTTAATGTTCTGCAAGTTCTTGAACACCTGATTATGTCACCAGGCATGGGGGTTCCAGAGAACTAGAGACATTCTATGATGGTCCCATTATTGAACTTGATATAGTCACTCTTTGTGCTCTGTGGTTCATATATTTTTTAATTTTTAATGAATGTTTTTATATATTTGTTGTTTTATGTGATTGTTGTATGCCACTCAGAGATACTCCCAGTGAGATGGGCAGCTATATAAATTTGATTAATTTAATAAAATAAATAATATCACATTTTCTGTACAATAAAGAAATTTAGAATTTAAAAAGTGCTATATAGATTATCAGCCAGGAGTTGTAAGATGAAAGTAAGGTAAATCTTTTTCCATTTTATAATAAGTTCTGCAGACTGATTAAAATAAAGACTGCAGAACTTATGTCAAATGAAATGTTAAATAGCAAAACTGAGGTGATGATTCCTAGCATAGTCTGTGAGCTCCTCTTTCTTAGAAGATCAAGCACTCTAATGTACTGTTCTAGAAATTCCATTACTTCATCACGAGTTTTCAGGCTCATCAGTAAGACAAATATTTGCAAACTATGTTCTGAACTCAGTGTAAAATAAATATGTGAAATAGTTGGTGAGTGATGGCAAACTGTCATTGGGAGAGCTCCCTTCTTACTCAAGTTCGCATTGGCCTGAATCCATGGAAATGCTAAGGCTCCTAAGCTGCATGGAAATCCGCTAACAAAATCTGGCACCAATGTAGAATTTTGTTAAATGCCGTATGGCATGAGCATGCATGAATTATGACTAGTACTTTAAATAAAATTTCTCCCATACAAAGAATGCAGTTTGTATAATACAGTTTGTACAATACTAAATAAGCTTAGCATTAGAAGAAATATATGTGATTTGGTATTTACAAATTTTAAAGTAAGGATCTATTTATTTAGAGTGCAGTAAGGATTTATTTCCATAACTATTGTTTATTGCAGTATCAAATTACCATTGAACCCAGGACTTAGATTATTTAGTGAATCTATGTGTGTCAGTATATTAGCACATTAAGAAACTGCTAGCTGTTATCTTCCATGCTAGAAAGTCTTCCACATTACAGAAGAGCTTATTAATTAGCCTTTTCCTACTCTTGCCTCTGATACCCAAATAGCCATGCACTGTAAATTTGAATATAGTGGCACAGTAATATTCCATGAAGCCCAAATATAGCTGCCAGAAGGTAAAATCAGCAGCCTGACTTTGCCTTCATTATCTTCATGAGACTTTAGATTTTAAACAAGCATAACTAGATTGGCCACTATATGCAATTAAAAAAAAAGTTTAAATTTCGCTGAAATAAAAAATTACTTTACAAAGTTACAATGATATAAGTTGAGTGGGAAGAGGAAAACTATTAGTGACTAATATAAAGTTTGTTGCAGTCTCATGCAAATAAAATGTTAAGTTGAACACCAATATAACAACTTGAATTTTGATACTATAATTTTTTTAAAAAAATTAACAGAAATTTCATGGTTATTGATTGCATTTCAGTCATAGTTGATATTAAAATAATATTCCTGAGAAGAAATACAGTATGTAAATTGTGTTGAGCAAAATATACAAAAATGTGTATTACATATGTTTATTACATACATATAAAATAAATCTAATAACATATTATAGCACTTGAAAAAATGCCATCAGTTTTACATTGTGAGCAATATTACAGGCTATGAAAAAGCTGATTTTGCTTTAATTTGATCAATACAGAGGTCATTATTTGTACAATTAGATTTAAAACATATCAAATAAAGAGGAATAGTAGTGTTCTGAAAATGCTTTTTCGAGATTTTATGGAAGAGTTTAGCTTCACCCATCACAATAGTCCTTTATTTTGGAAAATAAAACCTTCATGCAGATCAAATTTTATGGAAGTCCATACTGGGATTTAATTTAATTTTTCTCCTAATGTTTTAGTGCAAAGTATAAAACATTATTCCTATATCTGCAAGGGCATCCTTAAACAGACCACATAAAGTCTCTTATGGATTACTTTGCTGATGTTCCATATCAACAATTACTATGTTCCATTAATTCTTCCAATTAACATTCTTGTTAACTTTGAATGAAGTAGGGTACATATTAAAAAAACTAAGAATATTTGAGTGAAGTCATAAGTACTATGGAAGATTTAATGTGCATATCTGCGCTTTCTCATTGCAAAAGAATAAAACAATTTAACATACCAGTAATCTAAGTACAACTTTATGTGGTAGAAAAAGACAAACCCATGTGGCACATCATATACTCAGAGTAAATAAAAAATAAAAATTTATTTACAATACAGTATTTTGTGTGTGTATATAATAACAAAACTTATAATATCAACATTTTATTTTACAGTATTGTGCTTATTAATTTTATCAATTGTATGTCATTAGGCAAACAATGTTGCAGTATGTTTATAATAATTTTATAATAAAGAACCAATTTTGCTTTTGCTTTTGTAATTGTCAGTAGATATTTGCTACAATAAGGACCACACATAAGCACACACAAACTTTAATTAAAATGTCCATGCTTTGTGAATAATTAATAAATTATAATTGAGAATTCTATTTATTGTGCTTTATGTTTCCTGAACATTAATGCCTGAAATCTTCTTGGTGTGTATAGTTCTACTACAGTATTCAATTTAGCTACATTGCAGTAATCTTATTTTGGGTTCTTGCAGCAAATAGTTAGGAGTGCATATTGAATCTACTGTGATAGCACCATTGCCAGAAAATAATTAAAGTAGTAATTATAAAAGGAATGAAAAGACAATGCAGTTATCATAATTTGTGGATTTGTTTGCTCTCTGGAATTTCATCTTATCTGTTTTTATACTATAAAATCAGTTCAAGTGTTTGAGGACAATTCAGTGGTACTCATCATTCTGTGTTTTGCCAGAATATCCTCTAGTGTAAATACAAGAGTAAAATAAATTGTTAAGACTATGTACTATATTAGTAAACTCCTTTTAATTCTCTGGAATACAAGGAGGAGTTATTTTATCTATTTCTATTTGTTGAAGTTACTGTATGATTATGGTGTATGCATAAATGAAAAGATAGCTCTTTTCATAGCAAGTAAATCACAAAATCTTGAGGGGTTGATTGTAGCTTATCATATTCACTGATTAAAAAACACCACTTGCATAAAAAAATGTCTTTCAGTTCATATATTGTACTTTGCCTGTTAGGAAATCTTTACAATAGCCTAAAATATAACCTATGAGAGGTAGGCCTATTGTTTAAAAATTCACAGTTTCCAAAATTGCTGAAAGGAAATATATACATATATAAGTAAATTCCATATTTTATGAAGCAGCAAACTTAATGCAGAATTCATGAGCAGCCACAACGATCTACTACCATAGCTGGTATTTTCCCATATATTATTTGTTCTTTTCCATTGAAGTATAACATATTTATTGGGGACATCTTAGTAGGTGTGCAGCAAGGGCCTGCTGAACCTCTTGGATTTGCTTGATGTACCAGATGAGTATGTGGATACTTTTGTAAAAATACAAATTCACATTCTCCAGAGCAGTAGTTTGCTTTATATCTTTTGGGTGCAATAATCCAGTCCCACCCAAAAGCTTCAAAATCCACTGTCAATGGGTAACGACAACATCGAGATTCTGTTGAGTGTTCGTCACAATCAAGCCCAAAATCTCTGCGTGATCTTTTTGGTGTATCTGTAATCTTGACCTCTAAAAAAGGATTCTATAAGTAAAAGAAAATGAATAGTACATTGGGAAAAGATATATTACTCAATATTTCATATAAGATACATTTTTCCTACATATTATCTGGCATTTAAATACTGTTACCTTTGAAGGTACAATTTTGACTGCAAAATAAAAAATCCCTCGCAACTGATTCTAGTAATATTTCTATAAACTTTATTTTTGTAGATAATTTTAAAATTTGAACTCTAACAAATATCTCTTATCCACTGAATGTTATCCAAGAACTGCACAATACTTTTAGCCTTGAGTTTCTTGAGCAGCAGCACCCTCTAGTACATGGTAATTGATTTTGGAAAACCAAATGTATTTTCATGTTGTTCAAAGAATAAAAAGAATAACCATTGTTTTAATAGAAAAACAAGATTTTTCTTTGTTTTTACAAGTTCCTATGTTTTCCAATCTGTTCCAAAAGACTCCTTATTTCTCTGAAACAGAATAAGGGGTGATGGGGAACTGTACTGAAAGATAATTCATCCCACAAAGAACAGTCTATTGATGTATGAACATAATTTAAATATTCCCTTAGCAATTGTCAGGTTTTTGGCAGGGGAGCATTTAGTTACAACTGTTTTCCTCTTGTCAATCATATATAAGAGAATAAATGAGTAGCAAAGGGGGAAAAATAGATTAAGACTATTGATTACTTGATTTTAAAATCTGTATTTTTCTGTGTTCTGAATATCCATAAAGTTTCTCAAATTTATCACAGAGACACAATGTACAGTATGTTTATATACTTTATATTATAGATATATAGATATATACCATTGTTTCTTGTCCTCCCTCTGGTGCTCTGCTGAACAACATGACTCCCTCTTCCTTGTGGCAGCCCCTCAGATACTGGAATACTGCTGTGTCTCCCCTATTTCTCCTTTTCTTTAGACTAGCCAAACCCAAATCCTGTAGCCGTTCTTCATTTGTTTTAATCTCCAGGTCTTTGATCATCTTAGTTGCTCTTCTCTGAATTTTTTCCAATCTCTCAACATATTTTTTGTGATATTGTGACCAAAATTGGCTGCAGTATTCCAGGTGTGGACTTACTAGGGTTTTATAAAGCGGTACTAATTCTTCGCGTGATCTTGATTCTATGCCTCTGTATATACAATCCAGGATTGTATTAGCTTTTTTGGTTGCTGCTGCACACTGCTGGCTCATAGTCAAGTGATTGTCCACTAGGACTCCAAGATCCCTCTCACAGTTACTGTTTTTAAGCCAGGTCTCGCCCAATTTGTACTTGTACCTTTCATTTTTCCTGCCTAAATGTAAAACTTTGCTTTTCTCTGCATTGAAACTCATTTTGTTGGATAGGGCCCATTGTTCAAGTTTGTCTAGATCTTTTTGGATCCTGAGTTTGTCTTCTGGGGTGTTAGCTACTCCTGTCAGTTTGGTATCATGTATGATTCTATGTCCGTGTATACTATTATATTTACTATTAAACTTGTTTCATGTTTTCTAAAACTACTTTGAAGCTTAATTTCCCCACATTTAAATATTTATAAAAATCCTGAACCTATTAAGACCGTAGCAATTTTTCCAGCAGAAAAAATTTGTTAGCAGGCTATAATTATTTTAAAATAGCTCTATTTAATCATGTTTACTGTATTCAATTTAATAAAAAGGTGTAGTAGCTTCTTGAAATAGAAAAATTAAACCATATCTATTATAAATGGATAATGGAATTATACTTACTGAAATATAATGTTAGGGATTTACAATTTTTGATAGTTATTGTATTTAGTCACTGATGTTATAACTATTACAAAATGAATAGAATAGTTACATAAGAAAGTGATGAGTAAATGAGCACTCCACTGAATTTCACCATTCATTAAGTAAGTTATATTCTTTCCTCACCAATGTTATATCAAATGAGATGTCAGATCTTTGAACACTGATATTTTTCAAAGAAGAATAAGAAGGCTATTTGTTGCTGTCTGTTTTCTAGGGTTTTAAGATAAGATAACCTTTATTGTCATTTTTTTATTGTGGGCACAACAGCACACATCAAAAATGAAATTTAGTTGCCTGCTCTCAAAGTGAAACACATGCATGACATACACCTAAAACATACTATGTACAACATAAGTATAGATCATACCCCTACATATACATAGCAAATAAATATTAAATACTGTCCATCTTGAATATATAATGGAACGAGGAAGCTTGAGAATTCACAAGGTTAATGCTATATGGAATGAATCTATGGCTGAATCTGGATGTTCTACTACGGATACCACGAAGCCTCCTCCCAGAAGGTAACAAGGAAAACAGATCGTGAAGAGGATGTGTAGTGTCCTAGATAATCTTACAGACCCAGCAACGTGCTATGTCCTGGATGGGAGGGAGGGAACAGCCAATGATCTTTTCGGCCATTCTCACCACTCTCTGCATCACCTTCCTGTCTGAAGCAGGGATGCTTCCAAACCAGACTGTGATGCTGTATGACAGGATGCTATCGATCGTCCCCCTGTAGAAAGTGGTCAGGACTGGGGAAGAAAGATGTGCTTTTCTCATGCGATGCAGATGCTGCTATGCCTACTTCACCAGTTTCTCACTGTTGAACAACCAAGCCAGCCTACTAGTTAGCTGCACGCCCAGGAATTTGATGCTGGTAACCATCTCTACAGATGAATCATTTATGCACAGAGAAGTGTGGCTGTGCCTGCCATTTCTGAAATCAACAATGATCTCTTTGGTTTTTCCGGTATTTAAAACTAGGCTGTTTTCCTTATACCAGTTCACCAACCCCTCAACCTCCTTGCGGTAAGCTTCCACCTTGTCATCCTGAATAAGGCCCACTACTGTTGTATCATCTGCAAACTTCACAATATGGTTGGTGGCAAGCCTAGCACAACAGTCATAGGTCAACAGGGTAAACAGCAGCAGACTTAAGACGCAGCCCTGAGGAGAACTTGTGTTCAAGAAAATGGTATTAGAGGTATTTGTTCCAACTCGCGCATATTGGGGCCTGTTGGTAAGAAAATCAAGAATCCAGTTGCACAAAGTGTTTAAGCCTAAAAGGCCCAGTTTGTCTACTAAATGCTGGGGAATGATTGTGTAAAACGCCGAACTGAAGTCAACAACAAATGCATGTGAGTATTCTTTCCTTTAAGTGCTTCAAGCTCAGATGGAGAATGGAAGAAATAGCATCCTCCATAGAGCGATTTGGTCAGTAGGCAAACTGAAGTGGGACAAATGCTGGTGGGAGGCTAGATACAATAATGTCCTTTATCAGCTTCTCAAAGCATTTCATGATGGTGGATGTCAGTGCAACTTTTCCTAAATATCTTATTGTTCACTCTTGGAACCATGATTTTAAGGCTATACATTTTGGTCTACATAAACTAATTTTGAATATTAACAAATTGAAAATGCTGACCTATACAATTGAATATGCTGACCTATACAAGCTGACCTAGTAGTAATAAATATTATTAGCTTCATTGACAGAAAATTAATAAGAATCATATTTAATTTTACTCCATTAATTTGCCAGTGTTTTCCTATTACAGTCCTAAACAAAATGATGTGGAGATAAATCCCAGGAAGTTTAATGCCAAGTATATATGCTTATAATCACCATATTTAAAAAGCTTTGAGCTTTTTTGCTCATTACTGACATTAAGTGACAAACATGCTGAGGACTTTAAAGAAGAACTTACCAAGCCTTCTTCTCCTGATCCTGGATATGTCACTGCAATATCTCTTCCCTTTTCATTCAAAGCTTTGATTTCAATGCCCAAGTTGGATTCAGGTTGTTTAAGCCAATTTTGCAAAACAGTCTTCACATCAATACTCTGCCAAATACCAGTCCCTGGGTTCATGTCAAGTTTCAAGGATCGAATTGCAGTCGAAGTTGTACCATCTTTCATAGGTCTGATGAGTCTCAGGATCTGCACAAATACTGTTGTAGGCTTCTGGACTTGTCTTAAGTATATCCACAACTGGGCTTTAACTACTCTGTTATACTGTATTTTAGAACTAAATTTAAAGAAGCAACATTTGGGTTTTCCTTCCACAGGTATAGGGAAATCAGCTATAAGTAAATGAATAAGAAAAAAAACTTGCTTGCAAATGACTTTTTTTTAAAAAATATAATCATTATATATATTCTTCATAAAATATTTTCAGAATATTTTCATGATTGTAGATTAGCAGTATAATAGCAAGGAGAATCACTCTGAACTGTGGGAATGATCCACAAAGTAGGCCATTTCAATGATCATCCCTGTGCCCCATATTATACCTTGGTACATATTAGACCAAACCATTTCTTCCTATATTACCATGTTTCCCTGAAAGTAAGACCTATCCAGAAAATAAGCCCTATCTTGATTTTTGGGGGTGGGCTTAATATAATCTCTACCCCAAAAATAAGCCCTATCTTTGGGGCAAGGTGCATGTCTAAAAATCAACCTAGGGCAGGGATGGGGGTTGGAGCTTACCATTGCAGCCAGGCCTCCATGGATCAACACTTGCCTCACCGGCCCATTTCTTGTGTAGCCGAAGGAGCAGCTTCATTCTGCAGCTGAGAATGGAGCTCAGACCTGCATTTTGCATTTAGGAGGCCTTTCCTGAAGACCTGTGCATCCGAGAACCGAGCTATGGATTCAATCTTAGCTGCAGAATGAAGCTGCTCTTTCGGTGGCAAAAGTGGGCCAGCTGGGCGGGGCTGTTGCTGCCGCTACTGCAAGGAGAGTAGAAAAGCCACACACACACACACACACACACACACACACACACACCAGAAAATAAGACTTGGTACCTCTTTTGGAGGCAAACAAAAAATAAGACCGGATCTTATTTTGGGGGAAACGTGGTATGATTTTGCTACCTCCTTCCCACATGCTCTTGATATGAAGTTAATTTTTATGGTCAATCTCAATGAGTGTAATTTCTATGTGGAACCATTGCATCAAATTGTTTATTACATAGGCACAAGCCTGTTTCCATGATGGTGGCAAAAAAAAATGATTTTTTTTTTACGAAGGTAAATAAAAAGGAACAGTGAAAAAATGCATATTGTTTACCACTGCAGAAAGAAGGAACCTGTGCCTTCAAGTACACAAATTCAACTCCCTGCATCTCCAACTTCTACATCTCTCATCATGGACCATGTTGGATTGGACTTCTAAGAACTATGGATTCTCAATATCTGTGTGTACTCCATCCTTGCCACAGGAATTGTACTGGACTTCAGCATGCATTCTATAATCTATTTATTTAGTAAGAATAAAAATTAAATTACCAAAGTTTCTAAATTAGTTCACAGTACTCATGACATACAATAATTATTTTAGAAATGATGCTATGGAAACACATATAGGTAGTCCTCGACTTACAACAGTTCGTTTAGAGACCATTCAAAGTTATAATGGCACTGAAAAAAGTGACTTATTAACATTTTTCACATGACCATTTCAGCATCCTCATGGTCACACAATCAAAATTCAGATGCTTGGCAACTGGTTCATATTTATGATGGTTGCAGTATCCTGGGGTCATTGGATCAGCTTTTGCAACATTCTGTACAAGCAAAGCCAATGGGAAAGCCAGATTCACTTAACAACCGTGTTATTAACTTAACAACTGGAATGATTTACTTAACAACTCTTGTAAGAAAGTTTGTAAAAAGAGGCAAAACTCATTTAACAAATGTTTCACTTAGCAACATAAATGTGTGGAGCTTAATTGTGGTCATAACTTGAGGACCACCTGTAGTAGAAAAATACAGAACTTTGAAATATAAAATTAAAATATTTTAACTTTATTAAGTCTAAGAAATAAAAAAAACCTATGGGACAAATTCATTTAATCTTAAGAAAACTAATGGAAATATTTAATTCAAAAGCTGCAGAGTAAATTAAAATGTTCATGGCACTAGCATCTGCATAGATTTTTTAAATTTATCTTTCAGCCTGGCATTTCATGTTTGGAATGTGCAGTGTTCTTGTGAAAAGTTACTTAAGAAGAAAACAGATTCTAAATACTCCCTGGGATTCTTTGTGAGTTTATTACTTAAAGTAACTGACCAGCTGTACAAGTCACTCTTTGAAAAACCTTCAAACAAAATAGCAAGAAATGTTGAATCATTGTATTATATTCTCAGACTGATAAAGATTGAGCACCTGCGATCTTAACTGAATATTTTTTTAACCTTAAGTATTTAATACAAACAAGATTGCAAAGAAGCTATAAGAGAATTCAGATTGATTTTGCTTGTGCAGTAATAACACTTACGTTATTATTTTATTTAAAATTATTTGGCCATGTCTAATCTGGTTTATCAATTCTGAAATTACATTACAGTTATCAAGAAACTAATGTTAGCATATAATGAACTGAGAAAAACAACTTACCTAAGAATACATATACATGCCTGCAAGATGTCTTTTTTATATGTTCCTTGGTGTGATATGGATTATATTAATAGAATCACATCACATCAGTGTACACAAAACCATACCTAGAAGGCACGTATATGTGCTTGTAACCAAGTTGCTATTCTCAATAGAAGTAAGAATACTAAAATTGTACTTATTCTTTGTCTCTTTTTTATGTATGACTCTGCCTCCCAATTGAGGTGAGATTTGGGACTGGTCTGGAGATTATTGAAGAGCACACCTGAATGCCTTGCTGTGGTTTAACAACAGTGTTTAAATCAATTTTGTAATCCTGGAAGTTAGATCCATTGAATTATATTCTTGAAGTTAAACTCCACCACATTTACACATTTAACACAATGAAAATTCAATTAAATGAATGAAATTCATTTTCATCATAAATGAAAATTCAAATAAATAGAAAAAAGTTTTTTTCAGAAGGTTCTCCAGGCAACAAAGATAAATAATTTTTGAAATAATTTGCAGAGATTTTGTAAGAAAAGCAATTTATTTCCTTCTTAATAGTTACAATAATTCTTAATTATATTTAGATTATCACATTTAGATAAAATAGATGCTATTCTTGGTATTATATCAAATGAAATCTCAGTATAGTATATCACTGCAGTCTGCTGGTAGCAAATCTGTGTCATCTGGGCCTAAGTTTTCATTTTACAATATTTCATCATTGCCTTAAGTGTTATTCTGAAGACAGCTGCCATGTCCAACTTTAGCTAATGAAGAACATAGGATACTATAATATAAATTCAGCAAAGATACTTGATAGGACCTGTGGCAGATGCTCAGCACTAAGGCGATAACGAAGAAATGCTCATTCAATAAATAACTTCATTTCTTCTTAACACAACTAATGTTTATTCATAAACATTAAATATAGCACTGTTGCCAGTTAAGGAGTGTGTTTCATTATGTGGCTGTTAAAACTATATATTTGTGTTCATTGATATTTGTTGACAGGCCCATGAGTTAGAAAAAAGAAATATATAACAGGTTGTTGTGAACTTTTTGTATACCACTTAATTGATTTTCCAATTTCACTGATTCGAGGGGAAAGGCTTCATTAGGACAATTTATCTGAATGTGCATTCCAGTGTTTTGGATATAATTACAACTGGGACAAGGATTCAAGGTGAAAACCTTGTGGATTTTTATCTTGGTAATGAATTGTAATCACTCGGAAGTGAAATTTAATTGGTTCTCTGGATGTATGATGTTATAGTATTTGCTATGTTATTCCTGACTGGCTGGTATTATGTAAATGCAAAAGAAATTAGAATAATTAAAAAAACATATACTAAAAAAACAAACCTGTAAAGGTAAACATAACTTTTACTAGTGTAAACAAACTGTATGAAAAGCCAGTTTGGTGTAGTGGCTAAAACACAACACTAGAAACTGGGAACCCCTTGAGTTCTAGTCTCACCTGATGTAAAAAGCCAGTTAGGTAACTTTGAGCCAGTTATTCTCTCCCAGCCCTAAGAAGCAGGCAAGGGCAAATCACTTCCCAAAAAATCTTGCCCAAAAACTAGTCCAGGGACTAGTCCAGGCAGTTACCAGGAGTCAAAAACTAAATCAAAAGCACCAAAAATAAAAATAAAAATCTATAGAATTGAAAAAAATGATTTTTACATAAATAGGTTTAAAACTCTAACTTATATATCTCTATAATAAAAACATTAACATGTGATACATGAGCTGATTGGAGCTATGATATTTGTTTTACCATGTCATTTATATGAATGTATTTTATTTTTCAGGAAAATGTTTTTAAAACCTGGATCTTCAGAATGTTTCAGTATGTCTTTTCTATGTATTTCTCATTCTTGTAAGCTTTATAACCTTTTTACATATCAACAGCAAACATGTTTATTGTAGAATAGTTTTTATAAGAAAGTATCTTTCTATTTTAAAAATAGAGTCTCTCTGTAGTATGTGCTTTAGAAAGCAGTTTGTTTGAAAAATCTGAAATGTGGCTTCTCAGCACAAAGACAAAAGTGTTTGTTAATAAAGGAAGTATTAACAGAAATTACTTACAGTCTGTAGGCATTGTAATAATAGTTTCAGTTGTTGCATGATAATCATCATCTTCTAAAGAGTCATCACTACTGTCATCTCTCTGGATATCATACTGATCAATCAGTTCTTGCAGTGGAGGAGCTCTAGGTAAAAGTTGCCTTATAATATCCCGGCTAATGTTAGGTGCTTGTTCTAGACGCAGTTTACTGAGGATCTTAATTTTTATAGCTTCTATTCTTGAAGATTTTGTATTTTGCCTCCATGTACATGCGTTGCATAGTCCACCTTTTTCTGTATTCTCATTTGCCTGATTACTTTCATTAAGTTCCACAGGTATGATGAACATGAAAAGATAAATACACAGATACATTTTTAGCTTGTGTGTAATCACAATTTCAAAACAGTTCTTTTTCCTTCTTTTCTCTTTCTCCTTTTCTTTCTCCTTCTCCTTCCTTTGCTTATTTTTTAAAATCTTTCAGTACTTTGTGAACCACCGAAGGCAAATGCAATCTGAGACACTTCAACACTGAATCTTGTATGTTCCAAGAGGGCTTTTTATATTCCAACCTTCATTAGACGTGTGTCGTCAAAACTAATGATTGGCTGTTAAACCAATAATGAATCTAGCTGTCAGATGCTAAAGCTGTGTCTGTCATAAATTGGTTGGCTGTATTTTGTTTCTGCCAATGATGAACTAGTTTGCTTATTATTCCATAGAGAGTATCTGCTCACATGCTGAAAAAATATTTGCAAAGAGCACAGTGAGCAGTATCAAAAGATAATATTACCATTCTTAAATTTGAATCAGCTGTTTATTTTATAATGACTCTGTTCCTGTATCTAAAAAAGTCAACTTATGAATAAAAATAATCTTACATTTTAAAGATTTTATCACAAACATTTACCCCAAATATTAAATTTCAGTATTAGTTGGAAAAAATGAAATTCATTTGATTCCAAGTGATTTAGAGCTTGATACATCACAGCAAATATTAAGAATATTTTTATTCATTTAATTATATTTAAGAAGACCATACAAATATTAAAAATGAAGCGCCCCTCCATTTGAGTTTGGTTCTTGGTACCTGAATCAACACCTTCGTGATGTTTTCTTTAAAAAAGTACAAAAGTAGTTTGCATTTTTTTTCTTTCAATGATGCTTTCCCAAGTTCCTAGTTTATCCTATAGTCCTAGGATTTCCTAGTGGTCTCCTACCTAAATATTAAATGAGCCTGATCAATCTGAACTTATTTGAGATCTACCAAAATTGGCTTGGGGCTGCCATGTGCTGTGGTTATATATTATTCCATGCAGATGGAAGCAGATGGAATTTCATTCTTTATGAATGTTACATTCTTATCAGTGCTGGCTGATAAGTTTTTGGGAGCTTAGCCAAGACACTGTCAGAGGGAACCCAGTATTATTCACTGTGTTCCTGTTCTTTTTTAAGTTTTTAGCCATCGGATCACTTGTTATGTAGAGAACCAGTGAACAAGCCGTATCTAATGTTATAACTGCTCCTTCTTGTTACCATTTTTTTTTTACTGATACCCTTTGGCTTAAAGCAAGAGGTGAGCAAACACAACTAACTTGGAAATATTAGAGTCTGGAATGGAAGATCAGGCTCAGAATCAATCATAGCAAGATCAAGTAACTGTGCATTTAGGGACTTCCCATTTTCGGGGATTCTTCAAAAGTTCATTCTCAATGGTGTTGCACTCCATAGTTAGGACTAGTGTGTAATTTGGGGCGTCTTCCTAGACTCTCCACAAACTCCTAGCTCTTAATCATTGAGCAAGTTGCACTTCTGGCTAGGAGAGCCTTTGTACAGGTTCATTTGATGTACCAATTTGGTCGTCTGAATCAGGGAGCCCTTCAATTAAAGCTGATAGAAGATTCAGGAGAGTGAATAGCTATGAGCATACCCCATTTTACTCAGGCAACACCTCAGTTGCATAATCTGCACTGACTAACAATTGGCATCTAGATGCAATTAATGGTGCTAGTATCAACCAGTATGACCCAGGCTCAGGACCTAGATACCCATGAGATTGCCTTTCTCTGCCCATCTTGTAAGATTTGGCAGGGTCAGAATGTTCCAGCCTCCATTCTTAAAGAGGTATCATTTTGATTGGCCTTTTCAGTTAATAGCCCTTGCCCTTTGGAAGAACATTCTCTCTTATGTCCATGTCAACCCGAATATGTAATCTTTTAATGCCAGCCCTTGACACTAGCCCTGATCCAAAAACTAAATTTAATACACAAAAGGACACCTGTGCCAGAAAATTTAGGGAACCAACATGTGGCCACAGGATTGGAAATACTCAGTGTTCATTCCACTCTGAAAAAAGGTGATTTTAAAGATTGCTTCAGTTATCGAACAATTGCTCTCATCCCTCACATCAGCAAGATTAAAATTATATAACAATGTCTAGCACTAACTATTGAAAGGGAATTACAGATGTCTAAGCCAGCTTCCAGAGGGGTTGTGGCACCTGCAACCATGTTGCAAATCTGCACTTGATCATGGAAAAATCTCATGAATATCAAAAGATCATTTACCTGTGCTTCATCAATTACAAGAAAGCCTTCCATTGTGTTGATCATGAGAAGCTATAGAGAGCCCTACAAGAGCTGTGGGTACTGCACATCTGGTCAAGTTAGCGCAATCATTGTTCAGAAATCAGGAAGCCATGAACACCAAATGGAGACACTGATTGTTTTAAGATAGAGAAAAAAAGTGAGACAAGGTTGCATTCCTTCCCCTTCCTTAATCAACTTACGGATATGCCAAAATGACCATGAGGAAGCTAGATCTTGAAGAATCAAAAATTAGGCTAAAGTTTGAAGGAAGAACCAACAACAACAATACAACTCTCCTCTTAGACACCAAAGAAGGCCAGGAACATTTAATGAAGAAAATCAAAGAAAGCCTTTATATCTTTAATTCCAAAAGAAGATCAAGACCTTACTTTACCAAAGAATTATAGACCTATATCTCTTTTAAATGTAGATTATAAGATTTTTGTGAAAATTTTAGCCAATAGGCTCATGAGGGTTTTGCATCATGTCATATATACAGACCAAACAGGTTTTATAACTGGAAGGTATATGAAGAATAATGTCAGACAAATCATTAATTTATTAGAATATTTAGATAAAAATAATCAAGTTTCCACAGGATTGATATTTTTAGATGCTGAAAAAGCTTTTGATCAATTGAATTGGCAATTTATGTTAAGATTAATTGAGAAAATGAATTTTGGAGGAAAAATTTTACAAGCTCTTGGTGTTATTTATCAAAAACAAACGGCACAACTTATAGTCAATGGGGGTTTGTCAGAGGTTTTTACAATAGAAAAAGGGACTAGACAGGGATGTCCATTGTCACCACTGCTGTTTGTTTTAACTTTGGAAATATTGCTGATTAAAATTCGAGAATCACAGCAAATAAAAGGAATAGAAGTCAATAAAAAAGAATATAAATTAAGAGCCTTTGAAGATGACTTGGTGGTTACCTTAACACAACCTATTCATTCTGTAGTAGAATTACTACAATTGATACATCAATATGAACGGGTTTCGGGTTTTAAAATTAATAATAATAAGACTAAAATATTACCCAAAAATATGACCAATCTTGATAAGCAGACTTTGGTCAATTTGACAGATTTTGAGGTTGTTGATAAGGTAAAATATTTGGGGGTTACTTTATCTGTCTCTAATGCAAAACTGTATAAAAATAATTATGAAAAGCTGTGGGTCAAGATACAAAGAGATTTGAAAAATTGGGAGAAGTTGCAATTATCTCTTCTGGGAAGAATTGCGGCGATTAAAATGAATGTTCTGCCAAAGTTTCTTTTTTTATTTCAAATGATACCTATTTTAAAGAATGAGGTTAATTTAAATGAATGGCAGAAAGGTATCAACAAATTTATCTGGGCAGGGAAAAAACCAAGAGTAAAACTTAAAATTATACAAGATACTCGTGAGAGAGGTGGACTCAAGGTACCGAACTTGAAATTGTATTATGATGCTGTGGTTTTAACATTAATTAGTGATTGGATTAACTTAACAAATGTAGAAATACTCCTCTTGGAGGGTTGGGATTTACTTTTTGGATGGCATGCCTATTTAATTTTTAATAAAAAGGTTGACAGGGTTTTTAAATCTCATATTATAAGGATTTCTTTACTTCGGGTCTGGAGGAAATATTATAGAACTGATTCTAAAATTCCATTATGGGCCATACCATGGCATGCGATAGAGGGGATAAGGAGAACAGTTAAGATGGATAGCGTTTCTTATGCACAATTACTTAGATGGGATGGTAAAAATTGGCAGTTAAAATCTTTGGAAGATTTAGCACAAGAAAATATTATATATTCATGGTTTCAGTACAGACAAATTGTGGATAGATGGAAGGTAGATTGTAATGTGGGTTTGCTTAGAGAAGATGAGAATTTTTTTAAACAAGTAAAAGATCAAAGACGAACTCACATTAAGAGAATTTATGGGGTGTTAGTAGAATTGGATTCAGAAGCAGAATTAGTTAAAGAATGTATGATTAAATGGGCACAAAATTTTGGTGAACCAGTTTTATTAGATACTTGGGAAACTATTTGGGTGAGAAATGTTAAATTTACACAAGCCCAGAATTTAAGGGAGAATTTTTATAAAATGTTTTACAGATGGCACCTTGATCCACAAAAAATGTCTCGTATGTATCCTGACTTACAGCCTAAATGTTGGAGATGTGGATGTTTGGATGCTACTTATTATCATATTTGGTGGTCGTGTAAAAATATAAAAGCCTTTTGGATTAAGATATGGTGGAATATTCAAAGAATTTTTAGAAGGAGGGTAAAATTTACCCCACAATTGTTTTTGTTAGGTATCGTTATTGATTGTGATACTAAGGAGATTACATTGATGTTAAATTTAATTACAGCCGCAAGGTTGTTAGTAGGGCAATGTTGGAAGAAGGAATCTTTGCCTACTTTGCAAGAGTGGTTTCTTAAAGTTTCTTATTTGGCGGAAATGGCAAAGATTTCGGCTTTCTTGAAGGATCAATCGCAAGAGAAGTATGTTGCGGTATGGAAAAAATGGATAGATTTTATACAACATAAGTTGGATATAAAAAAATATTACTTAGTCTTTTAACAATTTATATTTAAAATGGAATATTTTGGGTTTTTTTTCTTTTTTTGTTCTTTTTTCCTTTTTTATTCTTTTCCTTTCTAAACATTTATTTTTTGTATTCATGTTTTTTTATATATACATACTATTGTTAATTATTTTATAATTTTTCTAATTAATGTATTTAGATTTCTAATTAATGTTAGATTCATTTATGGTTTATATCTTTTTTTAAGATTTTTTGATGAAATTTTAATTAAGCCTATATTCAGCTCTGGGAAGGTCGGGGGAGGGAATGGGAGGGTTGGGGAGGTTGGGGGGAAGATTGTTTTGTTTTTGTAAAATCTCAAAAATTTAATAAAAATTATCT